CTTTTAAGATAATATTAAAATAACCTAGAAATGTACAGTAGAGTGTGCAAGATTAATTATAGCCCTTGTTTCATCAGAGCTTTATTTTGAATCAAAATTTCAATACTACTGCAAATCTCATTTCATTTTCATGTTGCAGCTACAACATGTTGTACTTCAAAGAGTTGCTGTCCATGTGAGCATGGTTGAAACATTAAAAAGAGATTAATATATAAAACCTAATGTCACCAAGTGTTTGGATAATAGACAACCTAATGTCAGTAAGTAATCATGTTTCTATAAAGAAAAAATCAGGTTTATGGTTTGCTGCAAATAACTACTCATACGAAAGTACTGAGAATCCTACTCACATGTTGTGAAGGACGTCAGCTGCTGGATTTGTGACAACTTTTCTCTCCGGTGTTATAAGGAGCAGACGACAGCTCTTCAACAGATATCAAAGCTTGAGAAAATGCATCAGCTGCCTGATGCTGAAGGGACATCGACAAAATGCTGGACACAAATTGACCATGTAACCTCTTAGAAACTGTCTGTCTGTGCTGAGCGGCAGCATGCACAAACTCACACTGACATTCTCCGTCACTCCTCCTCCTCCTGTGAATGTGTGCACAAAAGAGCTTCACAGTCTGCCTTTAACTCCTCCGACTCCTCAGAGGAGAGAGAGAGAGAGAGATTCTGGGGAGAGAGAGAGGACCTCTTAGAACTTGAAGACAAGAGGAAAAGTAGTATTTTGTTTACACGGCCAAAGGTTTGACCAGATGATGAAACTATGTTCAGAACCAGAGGGGAAATGAGGTTTAGAAATGTCAAAACACTGACTGCAGTAGTGCTATTTCTGTTGTGGTCCTAATCCTAATGAAGAGGTTCTTTACAAAACACAGCTAACATTACTGATATAAATGATATTATATATATACAGTATATATACAGTATATATATATATATATATATATATATATATATATATATATATACAGTATATATATATATACAGTATATATAAAATGTTTCTTGATAAAAATTATTGCTGAAAAATCATCATCACTGAAAAATGTCCCTGCCCATGAAATAACTCTTTTTTTGTAATTAAATATTAGGAAAATGATTGCATAATTATCTATCTCTTATTTGTATCTCTCCATTTTATGAAATCTGTCTAAATTAC